TCAGGTTCAGTGAAGTATCTGGAGTGCTCTGCTCTGACGCAGCGCGGCCTGAAGACGGTGTTTGACGAAGCCATCAGGGCGGTGCTGTGCCCCCCGCCCGTCAAGAAGAGGAGGAGGAAGTGCAGAATATTGTAAGGGAGAAACACAGGGAGTAGAATAACACAGTTGCAGTCAGAACCCGCCTACCTAGGAGATGGAGAGGATGGCTGGGTTCCCCACATATCTATTCACCCCGTGTCCTTGCTTACATAGAAGCTCTGGTAGATCAGATCTCCATCTAAAAGGACTTCACAGATTTAAGCAGCGCTGAAGGTTTTTCTCTCAGATCTGGTTTCTGTTTGCTTTCATCTGTATCGTCCTTTTAGATCGACAGGAATGAAGTGACTTTGTTAGGCCTTGGGGAATGTGAGGGAGAGGGTGATTTAACATTTCACATCATCTGTCTCCTACGTTGTGAAGAAACACTACTTGAATGTGATTTTATCATGAATTAACTGAAGATTTAACTCTTAAGAGAAGGGGGTCCTGCATTGCACTCTTTCCCCTACACACTACAAGATTCCTGCTGCCTTGATGACATTTTACTTTTAGCAAGAAATGTATTTCAGTAGCTCTAATTTCCATCGTCAGTTTATTTTCAGCTGCGGTTTGTTTACATGTTTCATCTGACTAGACTGAGGTGTTGCCAAAACTCAGTGGTCAAAGGTCATCACTTTGTAGTCGCTCCTTGGACACTAAATATCTCTTCCTTATTAACTTAGTTTCTAACCTGTTCAAGGTACCATCATGCAGTCACAGTTAGATCCTTAAATGACATATAACCTTTCTTGTAGCAGATGCTAAACTAAGTACTAATTTCTCTGTACAAGTAACAAGCATTTAAAACGCAGTCTCTGCTAGACGTCTAACAGGTGAATGTGAACACACGCAGTATTTTCTAACTGTCGGGCCTGTGAGGGTGCAGCGCTGCCAGTGTTGTTGTGCTGTTTCGTCCTCAATCTATCTGTAATTATAAAACTCTCACTAAGTTCTTGTTGATTTTGACCACATCTACTACTGTGTTTCATGAAGTCTACGAGCCAGTGCACTCAAGGTTGTAACGGATGTCTCTTGTTGTACAATATGAGCAGTAGCTTCGAAGCAAATGCATTTTATTTTTAAACGAGCAATGATCAAATTGCATGGGTGCTCTGGGGAGCCGCTGTAAATCTCATTTTCAGTGCGCAGTGGACACGTGGATTTACCTTCTCGCTTAATATGTTTTAATTTTCACTAGTAATATGCAGATTTTTTTTGTAAGCAAATAAATTCATTTAAAATTATCTGTTTGATTTGTTATTTCTGTTCAAACATCATGGTGCAGGGAAATAATATAAGTAAGACTGCAAGAGATGAGCTTTTTTTTCTTTATTTAGTCTAGTTTCTCTGGACCTGTGCGCATCAGAGGGCCACCTAGTGGGTCGTGAATGTACTGCCACATTTTTATTTAAACAAAAATGTTGTGTAATACACAAGCTAGTTATTTTCAAATATCTAAATATAATTCACTCATTAAAAATAAAATTCATATTTTTAGGTACAAATATTCCCATGTCAGGTAGAAACAAACATGTTACCGTTACTTCATGCATTGATACTAAATGCACTAGTTTTTGGGTAAACCAAGTCATAATTTTAATGACTTGAATGTTATAGACGAACATATATGGAAGAACCCGGTCCTATTTCAAGTTAAAAAGCATGTGGTGAGGAAATATGACCGTGAATACATTAAAGGGGACCTATCATGCAAAATTCACTTTTTTATGTATTTTATACATAAAGATGTGTCCCCGGTGTGTCAGGGAACACACGCCGCGTCAGAAAATAAAACCCTCTTTTCCTCCATACCCAAATCTCTAAAAACTGGGCTACAACGGAGCTGATCCAGATTTGCGTCCGATATGACGTAATATCGGAAATGTAGGCTGGCTTTACACCCACGGCCCAATCAGAAACAATGCCCGACTGTTTTGGACGTAATATGGTCTGTGTTTACATTAGCATCGCTAACACTCAGAGCTAACCTGTACTGGAGAGCATGTGTGTGAAGAAGCAGGAAATAAAAAGGAACTCACCTTGTGGTATAACCGGCAAGAGAGAAAGCCTCCATGATATGGCGTTTCATCACGGCAGTATTTAGTTTAGACAGTAGCTGCCGGGTCCCGCATGAGCTCAGCCCACTCCTTTTTTTTTATCAATTATTTTTATTTTTATTAAGTTTTATACTTAAAGGGGACCTATCATGCAAAAATACACTCTTGTACGTCTTTTATACATGAATATGTGTCCCCGCTGGTGTGTCAGGGAGTCTCACCAAGTGTCAGAAAATACAACCTTCTCTTTTCCTCTATACCCAAATCTCAAAAAAAGGGGCTGTAACGGATCTGATACAGGCTGATCCAGATTTGAATTATTTTCTACGTCACAAAAGGGGTGCTCCGCTTAATGGTCAATTCTCCACCTATCAGGGGAATGAGAGGTTGGGCCACGGCCGGCCATTGCCGCTCGAAAGCGCTGGAGACGCTGTAGTATATATGCCAGGCCTGTAAGTGGCGCTGTAGTCTGCCACAAAAGCAGCAAAGAAGACTTCCCTTGCATGGTTGGCCTTCTGTTTATTCTCCGCTGTGGCTCTTTTTCTCCCTCCCCGAGGCAAGCGTTTGCGCCTCCTGCTTTAAAACAAATGAATAATGACTCTATATAATCATATGTAAGGGATAATGTGCAGCGACAAGGTCATTATGGGGAAAAGAACACCGACAGGCTGATCAGGAGCCCGACGCGAAGCGGAGCGATCTAGATCGGCATGAAGGCACATTATGCAATGTGCACATTATCCCGCTCATTACATGGCCACATTCTCAACAAAGTAACGATATGACTCCCAATATTAATTGAAATGCTTTTATGGATTTATAAATGTATTTTATTGATTTAAAAAATAGTTGTATTGATTTAAATTGACATGCATCCGCTAAGAAAAATAGTCCGTTGTTACTGTCTGAACCATGGTCTGAACTAACGTAGCAACGGCAGGAACTGCTTCGATAGCGTTTTTGAGGAGCTTTTTGATTACAGATTTGAAAACATCGTTGCTTGCTTTAAAAGTAGAACAATTCATTATGTCAAACCTTGGAAAGTATCTAGATATCCCTGCCCTAATGCAGAGATGGGGACTCGAGTCTGTGACTCGGACTCGAGTCGCACTTAAGTCGCACACACAGAGACTTCAGACTTGACTTGGACTCCTGCTCAAAAGACTTCGGACTCGACTTGGACTCGTGTGTTGGGACTCGTGTGTTGGGACTCGTGAACAATCATTGTGTTTTCTATTTTTGGCGTATTAAAGGTGGGGTAGGTACGTTTGAGAAACCGTCTCGAGATCGCTCGAATTTGAAAATACACAACCGGAGAAAATCTGCCACTTCCTCACAGAGCCCCTCCTCCAACACACACGAACGCGCACATGACCAATGAGGGCACGAGATAAGTTTGTGCCCCGATGGGAGGCTGACAGGCAGGTAGGCCATCCAGTTACTTTAGCCGGGCCGGCTATCGGGATGTTAAGAGCATTCCATGGAATATAACAACAAGTGTATCTCGAGCCGGTTTCTCAAACTTACCTACCCCACCTTTAATATTAACATTAACATTATGGTAGCACCATGGCGACCGGCGGCACACCTGCAGCTGTACCGCTTGTAATTAGGTTCAACTATAAAAACTTCGAACAAAACGCCGGCGGCACCAACAAAAGGAGCGCACACTGCAAAGTCTGCAATATTAAAATCAAGGATGCTGGTGCAACAACGTCAAATTTCATCAGGCACTTGAAAACTCACCCGGAGAGGTCAGTCACATTAACACATATGGACGGTTAGCAAACATGTTTAGCTCAGCATCAGCTATGTAATGTTAACTTAGCTTGCTACTAGCTTTGTAACTGAATATTTGAAAAGATGAGTGAATGTTTGCTTGTCACACTTGTTTGCGTTGAGTGGCGTTGACATCCAACTCTTGACATGACATAAAAAAGGTCGGTAACGTTAATCATTACGTTCCGCTGCCACCATCTACTGGCTAACGTTAAACGTAGAAAAATACAGTTACATACATAAATACATCTGTCGGTTTATAGGCAGGTTACAGGTTTATTGTTGACCACGTAACGTTAATGTTACAGGTTTATCAGGTTACCATTACACTGGGTTTGAGTGAGAGGATAGAGGAATATGTTTATTTATAGTAGACTTAAAATATGTAATTAGAGACCCAGTGTAATTAAACAATACGGTTGCAGAGGTCAAATTTTAACATGTTTGTCCACTGGCCAAATGGCTAGCCTAGTGAATGTTGACATTTTACCAGCCACTCAATAGATTGCCATTGTTATTTTTGGCTGGTGCGTGCAACATACAGCACCAGCCACTTGCATGATTTACCAGCAAATGGTGTTAATGGTAGATATCTCTTTTGGAACAGGTCATGTTTTAATATCACCAGTTCAGTATATTTCAGATAATATTGCAGCAATAGTTTTTTAGTTGCAAATGGCACAGAACAAATGTTTTCTTTTAAGTACTTTTAACACAGTTTCCCTGCGGGGGATTAATAAAGTATTTGTGATACTGATTTCTGATTCTGAAGTGTTTTGCTTATAAGTTGTTTGCATTTAGCTAAAGTGTGATGTTTTTCCTCATATTGCATTGCAATAGCCTGTTTAAAGTGATCATATAACAAACAACTAATCAGTACTGATACTGTATGCTAATAGATATAGGAGTGATAATAATACAGTAAATGCTTTGAATTTCTTAGATATAGCTGTGCAGTATTCTTAACAGACTGGATAGCAACAGACAATAGAAGGCTTATTACAACCAGAAGAGACATGAGACTTTTATTTTTTAGAGACTTGAGACTTGACTTGGACTCGTGACCAAAGACTTGAGACTTGACTTGGACTTGCAAAAAAAGACTTGTGAACATCTCTGCCCCAATGCCAAAGTAACTGGCAACTGAATATGTGTCGCCGTTTGATGTCTATGTCTGGACTGCTGCGTAAAAAGGAGGGTTTCTGCCCCATTACTTCTCTTCTTAGTTCTATAAGAATAAAACACGGTAAAACAGGTCAGGATTGAAATAGATGGCCACTTCATGATTTGCAGGATTTGGCTTCCCATTGGTCGAACACCAGCTGAGCGGACACGGCATCTTCCACTCCCATTCCTGTTATTCCAAAAAGAAAGGTTTAATGTATTAAGTTGAGAAATGTAAGTACTTCACTCTCTAGGGACTAGCCATAACATGGAGTCATATAAAAGCCATTACAAAGAATACATAATATGTAAAATATTACAAAAATACATGTTGTAAATAAAATAATAAATATGTCAGTAAATGCTGAAATATAGTATGAATAAATAAAATGTAAGTATAGTATATATTTTAAAGTATATCAATATAGAGAACTATTACAAATTATTAAATAATTATTAAAAGCACATATTCCTGTGTATATGTATTTATATACAATTAATCAAAATGTATTTATTTCCTTTTAAATTACTCTTTATATTCCCTATTTTCTTTCATCTATTTCTATGTAAAGTAATTTATCTCTTTGCTTTTTGCTGATGCTCTAATGTTTTTGTTACTCCTTAAGGACCAGGCTGCAAAAACCTGCAAACCTGAGCTTTTTCTAAATATATATACAATCAAGTAAGGCTTACCGAGGGATTTGAACACGGTTGTCTTCTCTCTGAGGGCTGGTTTGGTCCCATTGATAACATCTCCGAGCTCTGCAAACACCTCGGCCTAAAACAAATAATATTAAAACAAATTCTGCAAAAAGACAGTTATGCCAATGAGGCAGTAAGAGAGCACAATGCAGACTGACCCCTGAGAGGATGACGTCCCCGGACTCAGTCAGCGCCCCCTCCCTGCTGTCAGCGTACACCACGGCCTCCTTCATCAACACGTCGTCCAGCTCCCTCCAGGTCGGCCTGCAGGCTCCGACCGCTAATCAGAAAGAAACCAGAACCGTTAGAAAACATATTGAAATCTCACCTTTTTCTTCCTTTTTTTAGTGTGTGTGTTAAGTAAGTTTTCTCACCTGCCACATGGGCTCCTGGTTTGACCCACTGCCCAAACAGCACCGGCTCTGTACACCTGGTAACCGTCACTATGACGTCTGCGCCCCTCACCGCCTCCTCAGCTGAGACACACGCGGTCACCGGACCGCTGACTGAGCGGCAAAACCTCTCTGACCCCTGACCTGTGCGGCTCCAAACACGCACCTGTGGGGAGGATGCGAAGTCAATGCAACAAATAGTCTGGCAAATAACTCCCCGAAAGAATACAACCTGTTATTGCCATATCTACACTATAGCTACTGTGCACTTGACAATAAAGCCTTGAATCTTTACACTTATATAGATTAATTAAATGATGTTACCTTTTATTAGCTATAGATCTGCTAGTAGGTGGACTTTGTTAACTTTTTTTTCCCCCTTCGTTTCCTGTCTTTATGCAATTCTGATCGGCTATTGGCATCAACTTCCTATTTTTGATATTATAAGAGTTTTATAAATGTCAATCTTCTCATCTAACTCTGAAAGAGAAATTTCCTCTAGTGGGAACTTTGGGAATGTAGCCTTTGCAGACCATTTACATGCACAAAAACCTATATAACACACTAAAGGAAAGGGAAAACCCCCCAAAAGCATCATAGGGCCTCTTTAAATCACATAAATAATACCCCACTTCTTTTATCATGCATATATTAAATTGCCCTCAACTGATACTTGTGTCCAGGCTGACTTTTTAAAGATATTGTTGTAACCGTACCTCTTTAAATGAGAACATTTCTGTGAAGACGTTGTAATGACTCATGGCCTGAGCGCCAGTCCCCAAGATGGCCAATACCTCTGCCTCAGGACACATCAGCAGCTGCGTAACAAAAGCATGTCTAAATTAAAACAAGAGTGTAAATTAGAGAACAAGTTTGAATCGATACTCGTCAAAATTGGAGCTACCTTAGCAGAGATGGCTGACACTGCAGCTGTCCTCATCCTTGTGATCAGCTCTCCATCCATAACCTGCAGGGTGGAAACGTGACTGTGTTTGAGTGAAAAGCTTTGCCTTTTGCTGTCTCTTTAAAGGTCCCCTATACTACTGTTTGTCATCAATATATTATAGGTCTCAGATATATACAAAACATGTCTCTGAAGTGTTTGGCTCCAAACACCAAACAGATCATTGCAGCATTACCCATAATCCCCTCTGTTTCAGCCCTGTTTCAAAAGTGATTCTCTGTCTGTTACTTTAGATGAAAATAAGGAGCCCCTCCCCACGCCCCTCTGAGAGAGATTTGGTTAGAAAGAACACAATGGTGCTCTAGGAGGAGATTCAGGTGATAAGGTGGGGGGGGGTTACCTTGGTTGCTGATTGGCTAATGGTTACACAAGCCAACACATCGTTATGGAGCGAGCTTCACTTTCGATTGCATGCTATAGCCCAGCGCAACATCTTCATCACACATGTTGCCACTTGTTTGTACCATTTGCATGCGATTTGTAATCTGTTCTAGAAAAACGACGTGTCTTTGGGTATTTTTGGAGTTAGGTGGTCCGCGAGTGTTTTTTTATTGGTTAAGGGGTCCTTGGTATATGAAAAAGTTTGAGAAACACTGCTCTAGGAGGACGGACATTCAGGTGATAAGGTGGATCAGGACAAAAAGAGAGACAGTCTTTGTTCCTGAAACTTTCAGAGTCTCTTTACACAGAGGACACATGTTGATGTAGAAAAGACATGAAGAAGTGGATTTTGCATAATAGGTGACCTTTAAGGGATCCCTGCCTGTGTTTAATAAGGTTTTCCTCACAGCCTTTACGTTCCCGTACTCCGGGTCCAGCAGCACCACCGTGGCCTGTGTGGACGGCAAATTTGAACCGTCCTCCCTCTTGTAGAAACACACAAACTTTGCGCACAGGACTCCCTTATTCTCCATGTATGTAGGCATCAATCCCATAAAGCTGTGAAAGAAAAGGAGGGTCAGTCAGAAATACATCTTGTTTTTAATGTTTCCCCTGTAGGACAACCAAACTACTTGAAGGAATTCACTTGGAAGTGATAATTAAATATTATATAATGCCTTATAATCAAAGGAAATGTAAGCTATTTTCTAGAAAGTATGATTGAGAGGACATTGGGCTTTCTTTACATGTCAAATATTACTTTCCTTTTGGAACGGTTGAGGAAACACCGTTATCTATTTACCAGGAAAGATCAATAATTAACATGGTTGCCGCCATAAAGACAAGGACAGTTTTGAAAGAAAGGCTCAGATTCTTTACTAAAGTAAAAGTTCAAATATTGTGGTCTGAAACTACTCAATTACAAGTAACAGTCCTGATTTAAAAATATTACTTAAGTAAAAGAAGTCAAGTAAAAGCATCAGAATATATTTAAAGTACAAAAAGTTAAAGTATTATACATTATATCACATCAGCATAGCATGTGTTTGAATGTGCACAAAGTAACAATATGAGGGTTAAAAGTAGTGGAGTTAAAAGTCCAAAATGTTCCTCTGAACTAGTACAGAAATATTAAAGTAAAGTGCAAATGTCAACAAAAATACTTAAATACAATTCTAGAGTAAATTAAAAGATACTTTCCACTACTGCAGGGGTATTCAACTAAAATTCAACGAGGTCCAATTAGAGAAAATGTCCCCATGCAAAGGTCCGGAACATCAAAATGTCTAAGTTGCCTTATGAATTAGTGTGATATTGAAGTAGCTGTAGCTTTATCAACGTCTGCATGTAATCAACAGCTGACTGCCAATCAAATAAAGAAAGTACAATTCATAAACAACAATATTTATCGTCAATTAACATTGAACTATACAGATATACAGTAAATACTGTGGATATGTGTAATGTTCCTCTCGGGCTGCATTTAAAAATAAAATAGAGAAAATAAATAAAATAGCTTTTGAAAATGTGTGCATCTTAAAAGTGCTTCATTTTAGATAAATCAAATAAAGTGTAGCAGCAGCTTGAGTTTCCCTTTTTCTTTGTTAACCGTTTCACATCATGACTTAACAGTTTCAGACGATTATAGAACAATATCAGTCTTTACATCATAACAATTTAACAGTTTTAAAGTTTCTCTTTCTTTCCCTCTTATATTGCAGTCCCTCACTCACTTTGTTTAAATTCAGTGTGAGAATTGAGCTCGAGCTTGTCCTGCCAGGAGTTTGTAAATCTGGGCTGAAATGGTGTCAGGGCCATTCTCACACACATGCAGGTGCTCATTGGTTACAGTGATGCAAACACAGGTATGGTGAAAAAAGAGAGAACTATATTATGAAGCAGGAAAAAAACAGCGTAATATACCATCTGACAAAGGCCTGTGCTATAATGCTTCAATTAACTGCTATTCTTTATAATATACTCTGATCAATAGGAGACAGAGATGTTAAGTTATAAATCAAGGGTTTTTTATTATTATTTACAGCAGGGGTGGGGAACCTTTTTCCTTTCAATTTTTACAATATCCTCCGAGGGTCGTACAAATTATTGAACTCAACCTCTGCTTAAAAAAACTAAAATCACAGCCCATTCATTTGACCTTTCTTTCATGCTGTGCAAAGAAAAAGCAACCTTTTAAATATTGAAGTTAAAAGCATCAATCTGGTGCACTTTGAGAGCAACATGAAGAGATCTATGGATCCATCTTTCAACACCCATATGAAACAGAACTGTAAGCAGATTTTTCTTTTTGGATATTTTACAAATCACTCCCCTTTTAAACTCTATTCTTGTTATTTTTAACAACTTTTTTGTGACTGTCATAGTATTTTATACCTGTTTTTTATTTAGTCTCTAATGTCTCATTAATAACTATAATGATCATATCAAGGTGTGCCTTAACCTTCTCACTGAGCTGAGGTTATGTGAGCCTCTCAGGAGAGAGCTCTCTTCCACCTGGTTGTAGAAAAGCTCTTTAAATTCGTTAGCATAGCTAGCTAACCAGATGCTAATAACAACAGATCGCCACTGTGCTTACAACTAAAGACACAGCCACGCAAACACTGCGGCATGTGTACGGCTCCTTATGGGTATTGCAATATTGTAAGGGCTGGAGCGGCGTTCCGGTGCTCTCTGTCAGCACTCCTTTCAGACGAGACATATACCACGTGAAGACACGTTACGCTCGTGTTGTGTTCAAGGAACCTGTCCTTGGCCAGGACAAACAGGTACTCGCTTGTTTAATTATTTTTGCGGTCTAGATTTCTTCTTCTTTTTTGAAGTGAGAAGTTGTCCGACAGTCGGACGGACTCCCCACCCCCAAAACGAAAACTCTTTGGTTCTCCACGAATTACACAAGTCACCCAAATCAGCGTTAAAAAAGCGGGAGGCGACGAAAAATCCCCTATTAATGTATTGATTATAGCTCCGCGTCCGTATAGGTCGGCATCTGGGTCCGGATCCGGACCGCGGTCCGTCTGTTGCCGACCCCTGCACTACTGCATAAAGGGTTTACATTTCATTTCATAGATCATTTTGGTTTTTTTAATAACCTCAAAGACAGAAGAAAATATTACTTTTGTCTAGCCGATTCAATGTGTATTAATTGAACCAGTTACACCGTGCAATAGATTCTATAGACAACTAAATATTAAAATCAAAGCTTCATCATTGAGGCATACCCGTGGTGTTTCTGCAGCGGCACGGTGGTGCGCACAGGCTGGATCACCTCTGCGGGGTCCCGGCTGGAGAACTTCCCCAGAGCCTCCTCCAGCCGGGGAACCAGCTCTCGGTACCGCAGCAGACCCTCCACCTCGCGCTCCCAGATCACAGCAGGAGGTCCGGCCATGCTTCAGCTTCTCAGATCAGTTACTGCGGTGAGTTTGGTGCAAAGTTTAGATTCTAAACTTCAGAAGCTCACTTGGTATACTTGTTGCATTCAAGAGCCGCAGTAAAGCTCTGATTTAGTAGGTTTTTAAAGTTCAGTGACTTCTGAATGTTTGCCTCAAAGGTAGGGTTGGTCAAATTGGGGAAAACAGGAGTAAGCAAGAGGTTATAATATGTCCAGCCATAAAACCAAGCCATGCGTTGCAAAATGTTTCCAAATGAAAGTAGCACAGCAGTTAAGTAGTTCAATTGAAAATGGTCAAGACAGCTGGTCCCTTCAAAGCCACTCCCCCAAAATACAATATTAATAATGTAACTCTTTAACTTGGTTCATTCTGCCTATCAAGTTATTTACATTTATACTGTTAGTTATTTTTGCTGCTATATGTATATATATTTTAGATTGTACTTGATTTTGAGTGAATATAAGGTTTTTAGTTTTTGAAGTATCTCTACTTTTATTCAAAGTGAAAGTATTTTCACTATAGCCAGTTTTATTTCGACAGAGCTACTGATATATATGTATCGCTGTGGGTGTATGTTTTATAATTTAATTATAGTTTAAACCCCATATCTTCAAGGGCCAACTTTTCTATTGATAATGAACAACATAGCTTGAGTGAAGTTTTTGCTCATATTTCATCATGTTCAATATCTCACCAGAACAACCCAATCTGTTATATTCAAATATGAGGTTTGCCAGTTATGTACAATAAAACCATGTTATAGTTTTTTGTAATGCATTTAGCAATGTGAAGCAATTTACTTTCCTAAATATTTGGATTTTTAGACGACTTCTGAAGTTCACACTGAATGAGAACAGAACAAAACATCAGGTTTAAATAAAAAAGTATTTTTTATTCATCAGGATATGCCTTCGCAAACTGATACAATGAAGTGGACACACTGTCCTAAAAAGTACAAAAGAAAAACCATTACATTTTCCTGTCATTCATAACTGTTTTTCATCAGACAGCTGGCAAGATAACGTCTTCCTCGTTTTTCAGAGGAGACTTTGTTACAACAGTGCAACAAAAATTAGACGAGCAGTCTCTCAATGGACAATTGAACAGACTGGATCTGTGGTTTAAGCTGGGACCCCTCCTTTATGGTGACTGAGGTAGCGATGACGGGGCGAGAAACCCCGCAGGCCCGACCCAAAGCCTGCTTGGATCGGACGAACACGTATGGGACGTTCTTGTCCTCGCACAGCAGGGGCAGGTGGAGGATGATCTCCAGAGGTTCTGCATCAGCGGCCATCACGATGAACTCAGAGATGCCTCTGTTCAGGGTTTTAGTGGCTGGGGAAGAATTAAATCACAATTAGTACAATGCGTTAACATCACTGTTACATCGTCATTACTTTAGTTATTGTTTTGGCAGCAACACAATGGTGGCCTACTGGTTTAAGAACTGATTCTGAGATCTGCAGAATTTTTTTGATTATTGGTTTAATAATTTGAGTATAAGTATTGAACAATGTAAATAATGTTCTTGATTTATGAAACTAAACTCAAAATTCAAACAAGTAGCTAATTTGAGTTGGTAAATCATAGAACAGGGTTCATACACTTTCACCAATGATTTTCCATGACCTTTACCTCATTTTCCATGACCAAACAAATTACTCTTTCTCAGCGGTACCACTGAAAATGGTTTATTTTAACATGGAACAGGAAAATAAGGTCTGCATATGAAACATGTTGTGCCTATCTAAAACAAATCAAATAGTAGGCTTACTAGCTTCTACAGACTAAAGCAACTAAAATCTCTCCCCAGCAAAAAAATATATTGTTTTCCATAACTTTTCCAGGGCCTGGAATTAGCATTTTGAATTCCCATGACTTTTCCAGGTTTTTAAATGACCGTAAGAACCCTGATAGAAACAAGCAGCAAAATATATTTGCCATTTAAGTTATTTTTTTTTTTAATGACTAAAAGATTAATTAAGGTGTCTTTACTTTTGAAAAGATAACAAAGTAATTGACAAATCCCTGCAGGTTTACAATGAGTTTTTTCCCCACACATACTGCTGCGTTTGTTGTTAACCTGAACGAGACCACGTTTCGCAGCCTTTCCTGATGTTACAATAGCTTTGAAAGTAGCAAATTATCCAACTACCAGGTTCTACTTGAAGCCACCATCTAGTTACATTTAATTCCATACGTCTCCTCACCTTCATTAGCTCCCTTCCTGAGCTGTTTGTAGTTGGAGGCTTGCTGCACCAGGTCCAGGATGGTCTTGGACAGCGTGGCGTCGGCCAGCGGATAGGCCTTTGGGTTTACTGCTGCTTCAGTCTGAACATGGAAATAAAACAACATTTAACACACATTAACAACAGCAAAGCTCCATATAAAGTGGACAAACAAGGAGATTGGGATGAGGTTAGTACGACATACAACGTTGTTACCTTAAGCTAATGTTAGCTCAAAGTGAGCCTACTCACAACACTCACCATTGTGAATTAGTTTTTTGGGTATTTCTGTCCTCTCGGCGAAATGCTTCACGGAGGTTATTCGTCTTTTACCTCGGTAAGAAGAGACAACTAAACTTGCGCTGAGTTTTCTTTAAGCAATATGTTGTACCGATATTAACTTTCTAAGCTCTCTGTTAAATGCAGCCAGTCAGACGATCACCACACGTGTGGAATATTCGCACATGCGCACTGGCTACACCAGCTGAAAAGGACCGGAAGTGCTTCTTTTTTTCTCCCGGTGCGCATTGTTAGCTTTTTTGTTGTTGTGATGACATTTTAAACTGTGATTAATGATGAAATATTAATTATATGAATGATATCAAGTAATAAACAACAACAATACAAAATATACACCTTCTGATAGTAAAATATATTTAGTATCAATAATATAAAACAACAACATTATTCATGCGTTATTAAATTACAATTCAATCACCTATACATTTATCAGTTATAAGACTAGGAACATGTTTCCACAATCTCTTAGTAAAATTCCAAAACACATATGCAAAGGTTTTACGTTTTTTTGCAGTACAGACATTTATATATATCATATTTAGAATAATAAACAGTTTGTGGTCTTGTCACGCATCAACAACAGAGCGCGCTCATTGGCTCAGCGGATCGCCGGCAAGGAACGCGCTAGGCATTCTGGGTAGGGCAAACACGGCGGCCATATTACTCAGATTTCCTGAAGGAGAGAGGGGAGATGAAGGGGATTCGTGGAATTAGTCAGCTTTCGGTAAGGATTTATCCAATGTATCCTGTATATATGTGTATTGAGAGAGATATACAGTCATTAGCTGTCTGTTTCAGTGTTTGTGTGATTGTCAGAGAGTGTAAAAGCTCAGGGTCAAGGTGTGATGAAGAGCAGAGGAGGAACAGCTAATGCTAACCTGATGCTATCCAGCAGTAACCCAACTGATAACTTTAGCTTACATAATAAACATTACACAGTAATGGACGTTATAAACATAACTTACTGTTAACTTAAACCATATTTACTTAAGTCAAAGCCTTAGTAGTAAGAGCTAGCTTCTCGTAGACTTAACTCCACAACAAATGTTGACCTATATTGTGTGATGACAGCTGGCTTTAATCAGCCTATTTTTGTTTCTATCTTTTTTAAAAACATTTATTTTATAAGAAATGAGCAAAACAGTAAAAGTCTATATAGGTTTGGACTTGTATATTAGACAAGGGAGAGCACACGTTATTACAACATGTATTAAAACCAATCTGTCTTTGTGTCTATGTGTATTTAAAAAAATAAACGGCGTTTATTTTGCTGTTTGAAATGCTAATTAAATGTAAATTGGTTTGTGACTGATTTAACATCTGAGTGTGTTTTATTGTGTCAGGCCTAGGAAAAAGGAATCCTCTCAAACGTTGAATATTTACCTCAATATCTATCCACTCAGTCTCTATTGAAGGTTGGGTTTTAGTCTTTTTCATGTACAGCTCTTTTTTTGCTGGCTGCTGATGATATCTTTATCTGAATTGTCTTGAACCAATATATGAGCTGCTATATTGCTTAGAAGATTAACGAGAAATAATTGAGTCACCATAGTGTTCTCTATATATATATATATATATATAGTGTTATCCATGCCCATATTACCAAATAGCTCGGCAGCTCTAACATATTTAGAAATGTTTTTCTGCTATCGACCCTATCCCTTCTCATTGATCTATAAACCTTTATAAATCCACAATGTTTAATGCCCCCGGATTTTCCTGCTCCCCCTTGCATCAATCAGCATGCCAGCAACACATTAGTTGTAATGTCCCGTCTTCCCATGTTTTTTCTACTTTCCAGACGAGGCTTTACGCGGCCCAGGCTGCCCGTAAGGTGGAGTTCACCGCCGCTGAACATGTTAAGTTTCAGCCGCAGGATGTGCAGGTCAGTAGTTGTTGATGTGTTGTTTCTTCTCCACAGAGACACTTCCATGTGGCTGCCAGAACAAGCCAGTCTCTCGCTCAGCCACTGGCTGGCATCAAGCTCTCTCCAGGGGCCGCACACTCCCTCCAGGACATCCATGTATGTTGGGGGAGTGAAGAGGAAGGGTTGGATGGGTCCAGTCAGTTTAGGGGGCACACACATTAATTTTGTTATTCTACAGTATTGTTGTTTTATAGTTATTTGTTAATGTAACCCAATTTGTGTTCTTTGAAATTGAAAAGGATATCGCATTGTGTTTGTTACTTTCGTTGCAGTTGTATGTGTCTTAAGTGTAATTTGGCTTGGCTTCCTATTTATGGACATGCTTTTATTTTGAAGGAGAGGTAGCGCAGTTGACAGGAAGTTGTTGTTGCTATGGAAACAACGTGAGGGAGATTAAGGGAGAAAAGTAATATCTACATATAAAGACGGAGAAAGTAAACGATAACGTGTATGGTTAAGTGTTAGCACCCCCGAAGAGGCACAAGCTCTTACGTTGATATTGGAGATTTCAATAAATTCAATTTGAGAAAAAAAACGGGGGAAAAACAAACAAAACGAATATCCGAATAACGAAATTGAAACCCGAATAGTACTCCAACGAACGGATATTCGGGTACAGCCCTAAAAACTAAAGAAACATCTCTGCAGGTGACCAGGCTGCCCAGCGGACTGGTGATCGCCTCCCTGGAGAATTACTCGCCCGCCTCCAAGATCGGAGTGTTTGTGAGGTCCGGCTGTCGCTATGAGACCCCTGAGAACCAGGGGGTCACCCACGTCCTCCGACTGGCCTCAAGCCT